GACGTGGGAGACACGTGCCCCCCAATCTGCACGTGGGGCAGGGCAGGCTGGGGCAGTACCAGGCTCTTCCCGGCGCAGCTCTTTGGCCACGTGGCTCTCCCAGAGGTGAGGGAGGGAACAGGGCACAGGCAGCGGCAGGGGAAAGTGGGAGACAAGCAGAGGCGTGGGGAGCACATGCCCACTCCCCCCAGCCCCTGCCTCTGCCCAGCTCCCTCCCTCACCATTGGGGCCTCAATTTGCCTTCCCCCACCCCCCCTTTGCCTTCCCCCTGCCCTTTCCCCCAGAGACTTACCTGTTGGGGCACACACCCAAATAATTTTTTTTTCTCTCCACCTGGATCTGCCCCACCCCTGCCCTTCCCTCCGCACCTGCAGGCTGGGGAGGGAGGGGGACGGTGGCAGCAGCGGGTAGATCTTGGGTTGCTTTTTAATTCAAGAAGTCATCTCCTACCCAAAAAGGTGGGAGCCCACTGCCCTAACAGGAGCCACTTAGGATGCAGCACAGTGGAAGAGTCCACACAATTCAACCACATCTCCCTTGAGATCAGAGCTCCAGGTGAAGTCAGAAGCATGGGTTTGCAGTGTGTGCAGTACACCGAAGATGCTCCAAGTTCTCTAGTTCGCTGATCCAGGCACAGTAAGACGCTTAATACGTTTGGCCAAAAGAAGCTTAATTAAAAAACCCAAAGTGGCCAATAAGAAGCACGCAAAGCTCATCAGCTCAAATCATTTTCCCTCCGTGGGAGCATCTTCCAGGACCCAGCTCTCAAGCAGGTTTTGTGTTCCCATATCTCTCTTCCCTGCTTTGATCTGTTAATGCTATTGCGATGTAATCTCAATCTAATTTAGAGTGTAAACTCTCCCAGGCGGAGAGGCCTCCTCTTTTTATCTTCTTGCAAAGTGCTGTGGGCATCTGTGGTGCCAGAGAAATAATGAACAACAACAGCTGTGTGCAACTCATGTGTTTGCTTGGGCTGGTTTCTGCTGAAGCTCTATTATCGGGAACTCGAAGGTGTAGATCACTCGGTGTTTAAATCTCAATTGGCCAGTCTGAGATTTTAGAGCTGTATGAAGTCAGATGGTTGAAAGAGACCTCAAGAGTCACCTGGTCCATCTCTCTGTGCAAATGCAGGATTTGCTAGTCCGAAACCATCCCAGACAGATGCTTGTCCATCCTCAAATCTCTGGAAAAATTGCCTTGATTGCTCATGTCTAAATCCTCGATCCTGCAAACGTGTGTGTGTGCACACGTGTCTCTAGCCATCTTCTCAGCTGAATAATCCCACTGATTTAATGGGGACAACTCATGTGGGAACACATGCACATGTGTGCAGCTTCTTTAATGGGCAACTGCCTAAAGGAAGAAGCTGGAAGGGGGAAGTCACGCCATCCTGAACATTTCTGCTGCTGCTGGTGCATCAGGTCCCGGGTTCACTCCCACCGCCTAGCAGGAGAAGAGGAATTTTAAAGGACCAGGCCTGGACGTTACAAACGGAAGATATATGTCTGTCAGGATCTTCTGAGCACTTGGTATTGGTCTAACTCAAGTTTCTACTGAAAGCAGCGACCACTGACTTCCATGGGCCTGAAGTTACGCTACCACTCACGTGCATATGGCTAAACAGGCAGCGCGTTCAAGTTTCTGGTTAAAGATCGTAACTCAGGAGCATCCTCCTAGCTCCTCAAGGACCAGTGTCTAGTCCTCCACCAGCAGGGTTAGGGCCGTAATATTAAAGGTCTTCAAGTTAAGAAGGCACCACAGCGTGGAGATCTCCAGAGACCCTACTAGGTTATGTACAGAAGTGGACACAAGGAGCAAAAACATGCTAAGCAAGAAAGAAAAAGGCTGCGGTAGTGGTTCCCCATACTTTCAGAGTCAGGGCACCCTTCACAGCTTTTAGTACCCCCAGTTGAGCACCAGTTTTGCTGCCTCAGTTTACCTTAGGTTAAAATACCCCGTGGGTCCTCTGCGCAGGCAGACTGGGAAGAGCTGCCAGAGATGCTCTCTCTACCTCACTGGGGCTCTCTGCCTGGCCTACAGCAAGCAGGGAAGCCAGGACAGTGCTGCAGCCCTCTCCAGTCTGACCCTGCGGGGCATCTCCTGGACACCGAGGTGCACAGGGCAACTGGCCCACGTGCCTCTGTTTTTCGGGAGGGGTGTTGCACTGGGAAGGGCTACTGCACAAACCAGCTCTCCGCCTGCTTTAGGGTTATCCAAGAGCCCCGATACAGGGGAGCGCATACATGAGTGCCGCATGCCTACGTACTGGGCAGTTTTACCCGGCTGCCACTGTGTCGCAGCACCCCTGGGGAGGGTGGGGGTGTCTCGTGGCTCCCTGCATCATCCTGGTTGAGAACCGCTACCCTACGGGTGATGCGCTGGCACCTCCTTCCATCCATCTGTGCTGCAAACTGCAGGTTAAAACAAAAGTGGGGGAGCGGAGAAGGCCAGCCAGGCTGAAAAAGCCTCACAAACTCATTTGC